TATTTTAAACTTTTTGATCACCAAATTTTCAAATGTGCGAAATTAAATGTTATCTCTCATATCTGAGTGGTTTTTTTGCCCTTTTCTCTACAACTCGTACTAAATTTGGCGATCAAAAAACCTGCAATTTTTGAATTAATCTCAATATTTGTGAACTTCCTTTTGTGGAGCAGTAAATTTCATTATAATTTGTACTTTTTAATGTTGATAAATATTTGTAAAATATAACTAACCCTTTCTGTGTGGAACTTAATTCATAAAAAAATTGATAGCACAAAAACATTTTTTATCGAGCATCTACATGTACCTACCTTTAATATTAATATATACATTCTAATTCAATTGGGTTATAAAACTATCCTCGGTATATTTACTTTAGTACACCTATACGAATTCGTTTCTGTTTATTATAAACTACCCCCATAAATTACACGTATAGGTAAGCACACTCCGAAAGACCTTTCAACCCTTCGGGGTTGCAAGTTCAACGTTGACAATAATTTAAATAGCGCCAGGTACGAATAAAGGTCCTTATTTAAAGTGGGCACGATCCTTTCGACCGCTGGTCACCGTACAGTGGACGAAGGACGAAGGACGAAGGACGCGCCCCTGCTGTTAGTCGTACATTAGGTGTTTATTGTTTGTATTGCCGGGCCTTTCTTTCGCTCTGTCTTCTCCTTAACAACTTTTTGAATGTTCCATCGGCGGGTTTACGCCGCGTGAAATTAACGAGGGACCCGATGTGGGCACCGTCGTCGAAGAAAACCGTTGAATTTGGCGCGCGTTCTCGCTTCCTTTATGAAATTTCTCTAATCCTTTAATAGTACAATTTATTATTTGTTAGATTTTTTTTTTCACGAATTTTCTTGAGGCGCAAACTGATAGATACTGGCTCATCCTTAAACGGATCCTGCATAATTGACAATGGCTCATCAACTGTCAATTTCATCAACTTTAAATTTGACAAATAAATGTCAGAGCAATTAATTGACACATTTTATAGTATGTTCAGAATTAATTTTTAAATTTATCAATATGCCCGGGGGTTAAAACTAAAGTCTTCACGTGAATACGCCTTATTAAAATATTTTCAAATTTAGGGGTTGACTTATGAATGAAATTACCTTCAAAACGAGGTGTCACTTAACCCCGCTTTCCATAAGAAAAAAAAAACATTCAAAATGGCGCCTAACTGTCAGTTTGAATTTTTACGTCAAAAAATAATATTTTTACTCCAATATAAACACCCCAAATTTCGCAACAAAAGCTCTTAGTTAAAGACTCAAAAGTTAAAGAGGGGCGACGGAATTTAGTCCTCACTGTATAACGAGATCAAGGCAACACCTCGAAGATGTTCTCGAAATCGCGCAATAAAAAATCTTGTTGTTGTACAAGCACACTTACATACGAAAAATAAAAAAAAATGTACCATGTTATACTGGCGAGAGAAATCTTCATAATTTACTAACACGTCCTAGTCTACTCGTTTTTCATCGTTAACGACATTATCCAACGGTTTCGGCTAGAAATGGACCTGTTTCAAGACGGTCGCCGGTGCTCCGGAATCTTCTATCCCACAGTTAGCGGGTTCAAAGGTCGGAAAATTCACCAACACCGTGATAATGTGAGAGATGAGATGGGTTAATTTATATACAAAACGGAACAAACGTTTCTACTATGGTCATTTCGAATCGACAGCTAAATTTCTCGACTGCATATACGCTCAATTATAAATAAGTGGATCGGCAATTATTTAATTAAAGCAGGATTTATTATATTGCGCGGTTTAATTATTTTTAACCGCCGTCCTCGATCCAATTGGAGTTTATCTCTGTATACTAACGCTCGCTAAAAGGGTACCACTTACCTGATGTAAGTAGATGCAATACTTTACGAAACCGAAGGAAAAATCGTCGCTGAAAATCTGGGTTAAGGCGGTATTTTGAATTTTCTAATTCATCAGTTTTCGGCGGTGCCGGGTTATTATTTTTCTGTACCGATAATGGATTGGGTTATCGGATACCCTGTAAGTATTTGGTTGAATTTTTCAAGGATGATATTCGCGTCGACATACTTAGGATTTTCCGGTGAAAAGCCTGTCATTCGGTGTTTTCCTGCTAAAGTTATTCGATAATAGCTCCGGCGATAAGCGAGCGTAATATGTATGCAGCGAACAAAACGATAAGGACTGTTTAAAAGCCTAGTGCATCAATTAGCATTTATTGTAAGAAACTCGAATTGCGACATATAAATACGTATATAAAGCTAATTTATGAAGATAAAAATGCATGAGGATATATCGAGTTGTTTTAAGGTAATTGTTCGAAATAAAAGGGAGTGCGGTGATAAAGGTTTAATTTTTTTAAATATTGGTTTAACTAATATACCTATAATTTTTGTCTTATCCTCTGATAGTACAGCAAATTGTCTCTTAAAAATAGTGACATATCGATATGCTAAAAACTCGCATGAGTCATATTTTTTCTCATTTCCTTTATTCTTAATTAGCATTAATTAGGTATTTACTCTCCAATTACCTCGAGTAATTTCGACTTTATCTGTAAGAGTTTTCGACCTTATCTCATCATTAATATTTAAACACGTACGTCAGAACATCCCGAAACTTTGTTTATGGCTAAGTAACGTTTCGAAAATAGCGATTTTTCTAAAAAAACACACCTCGATCCATATTCATTTATTTAAAATCATTCAGCGAAAACAAGCTAAATTTAAGAAACATATTCCATTCAATTCAATTTTCGACACTCGAATTAATTCGTCCGCACAATGCTAATAACGAGGGGGTAAGTGCACCCGAACACACCCCGATGGCGCTCCGGCAAGTGCTATGACGCTCTATTACCCTTGTGTTATATTAACAAAAGAGGATTTGTAAAGCTAGATGATACAATGAGGATTATCTCATAAAGTCATTCCGACCCCTGGTTATGTTAACCTGTCCTATTTTATACCACCGTAATTTATTAAATTTACACACTATAATGCGCTTACCTATTTTCCGAGTTAATAAATATTTATGCACAGCAAATTCGCCTTCGAAATCTACAACAATTTTTTTCTAATTCGGTAATTACAGAACTACAAAACGCACTAATTGTAAACAATATTTCAAACAACCTGTTTTCCTTCTCGCCGTTACAACAATTTAATTGTCCAATACATTCGGATGCTCTCTAAGTATCTCGTCTACCTAATTAAATATTCACCTCGAATCGAAACTCTGATAAAAATCGGGCAATTAAAACCGACTCGACTAATAGGAATCGTCCGTTTGCATTACACACAGACGGTGTCATTACGAAACGAAATTACCGGGCGACTTTTTCCATCTTCTCGAAAGTAAAATTCGTTTTCCAGAACTATTAGTTAGCAATTACCCAAATTGATATGCGTATTAGTCTCGCAACAGACTCTTTATCTCGTCGTTAAGTTAAATTCCAAATTAGGCTCTTTGTTTTCTCTTAGTTAGAGGCTAATCAGCGGCGTCCCTCGCCCATAATTTTCCTTTAATTATGCCCGAATTAATCCAGAAACTGTCAGTTTAACCAAGCTTTATGAAACTCCAAAATTCATGGATTGTAGAGAAAATTGTTACTTCAATTAAATTAATTAAAAACGCGTAGTAAGTTGGAAATAAAAGGGTGTATTCTCCGGAGATGCGGCATTAAAATTAACATTCCAGGCGTATCTCTAATAAAATTTCAAATCATAAATAAACATTGCATTAAAATTCACCTTGTTCGGTTGCTCTTCCTTTACGACCCAACGCAGCCCTGAGATGACTGAATACTCGCTTCGAAACCCGTTTTTTTTTATATATAAATTCCATCATTACCGGCGTACTTGATACATGTATAAAGTACGCCTATGAATTTCCCATGATTTGTTCAAATTAAGCGATCATAATTGTGCTATTATTACAATGAGAAAATGAGATAAAACATAAGTATACGGTGACACGGAAGGAAACAAAACGTCTTTTTATCCACAATAATTTGAACTGATTAATAAGCGTTTTTAAATGTTGTGTTATTTTAGAATTAGCGAGATAAACGATACTCGGGATCCTTATCAGTGTGTGTTAGGATGATGTGTTTGTTAGATGTAAGAATATAGCGAATAATTATTTTTGTAGGATGTTTTTGAGTATGTATTGTTTCTAAAAAATTAAAGTTTTGGAATGACAGCTTGAGCTTTTATGTAGCGATATCTTCAATTTAAAATCTTAGTTCAAGGGTATCAATTTGTATGTCTAAAGCTAAATTTTCAGGTTCTTTACTTGCTCCCAAAGTTTGACCACTTATTAGTGCATAATTGGTTGTAATTTTAAATGCTCTGAGAAAAATTACTTAAAATTTATTGTAATAGTTTGTGAGTTATGAGGAGAAAACAATTATACACTATTCAAATTTTAGGATTGATTACAGAGTACATGACGTACAAAAACAGCCAAACAAATACTTTTGAACAAACACCTTTTCGAAAAGTTAATAGTAAATTTTGGCTTTAAAAGGGAAACTAACAACTTTTCGAAAAATTGTTATATGACATTTTTGGTTCGAAATAACCTGCATAATCACCACCTAGCGTTTTTAATAGTAAACACCCTGTATAGTACCCTAAACCAGTGAAAATATTAAAGTGGTTAATTTGTCGTGTAATTATCATCAACCAATCAGTCCTAATTAACAGTTCAATAATATAATTCGAACTTTCCATTTCTATATATCGTTGTCGAACGAAGTCCTTTCGCCGTTAATCCGGCGCGAGTCCGATCGGCGGTTTTCTCATCAGAAAAAAAATCAACAAACGCCGCCGTCCGTCTCGCTCTGCGGCGTTGTCGCGCCCGCAGTCGCTCCTCGTCCATCACCTGTCTCTCACCTGTATCCCCTCTCCCGGAGAGCGACCAATGAGAGTCGCCCGGAGAGCATTCGGAGGAGACTTGATCTTTTAACTCATTCACATTACGCGTTCGCATCTTGAGTATATTGGCCGAGCCGATCCCGGAGCATTTTACCAATTTTTTTTTCTCATCTATGTTACTTTTTTCCGATCGTTCTAGTGATGTTCGATGCGGTCGATCGATCGGCGTGAACGTTTATTCGGTGCTTTTATATCCGATTTTTTTTGAATTTATTTTTATCCGTTTTGTGTGGACTGTTAACGCGAGTTGGTGATGGATATTTTCCCGGATTCGTCAAGGTACTGTGCTTTGTATTTTATTTATTTGTCTGGTTCGTTTCACGAAGAATTAATTGGATGAAAAAATTGACTCGTTCTTCGGGGACTTCTAGACGGTCGAGTTAAAAATCCGCATACTTTTTTCGGAATAATTCGAATTAGCGCATTTCGAATTCCAATCGATCATGTGCTTGGATTTTTTCGCATCGAACGAGCTCGAATGTGCCTCGCGCGAATTTTCATCTGCGGCGATTTTCGCGCGGATAAAGAACTTCTTTAATTGTTTCCCGATTCCGTTTAGGGTTTCCCGTGAATCGGTATCGTTCAGGATGCAGCATGAGTAGTGTCTCGCGGTTTCTTCAAACCTCAGTAAAATCTGCATACGTTTAGCACCTACTCATTCGAATTAAGGTGATGTCAGTACGACGTCGACGATTTTCTGTCGTCGTTGCGGTGAAAATTGACGAAATGTGATCTGTATTCGAATGAGTTAACCAGAAATTCCATTTATTTTTAACGTTATAAAGTATAATACCCATCTCGAAAAACCGAGATGATAATAGAATGATAATTTTTTTTCCAAAACCTCCCACATAAATTAAAAGCGAAATAAATATTAAACAATTTCTTGGTAATATACTGTAGTTTAAAAATTCATTATTGTGTACAATTTGTAGGTATACCTAATAAAAATAACTAACTATACATTATAGACATGTGGGGCTTAGATTTGTATTAAATTAAATTTGCAAATAATTTAACATCAATGTAAATAAAGTATAGATTGGACGGCGCAAATTTCGAAATAACTCGAGCATTACAGCTCGTACTAAAGGAAGATTAAAAATCGATCGTTTCGAAATCAATGAATCTCGGAAAAAGTAAAAATGCTTCTTCTAAACAGTCGCGTGTTTTCGGTATTTAAGCTCGGACTTGATGAGGAATTTCTCGAAATTACCAGCGAAAATTTCTCCTCGTCGAACATGCTCAAATGATTTTTTTCGCTTCGAATTCAACTCTTACTTAAGCTCGGTTTCGATCGGATTATTACCAGTCGAGAGATTTCACTAGGAATTAACCAACACACCACCCTGTATGTAGAAACTAATCGACTTCGAGGGCTTTTCGTCGGCTACTTATCATTATAGTTTGAGGTAATAACGAGCGTCATTAGCCAACCAAAAGGAGGGTGGCTTATATATACAGGGTGGCCCAGAACTCACGCCCCACCGGGAAATGCTTTTATGGAAACGACAATGGAGATGCCAAAACTGCAGTCGAAAACATAAAAAAGTTTTTCTTTTGGTAAATAAAGAGGTTCAAAATCGACGAATCCCGGTATTAGGAATTCAAATCCACGAAAATGAGGTGAATTAGCTATACAACAATTTGACATTATTGAAAGATTCTATGTCATTTTCACTTTGAAGGTTAACAAAAGGTGTCAAATCGATCATTTAGGAGCTTCATCTAGCTGATAACAAACCTACAGAATTCTTTATTACTTCAAAAGTGATTCGAATCGAATGATCTATTTTTTGATCGATTTTACAACAAATCTTTGATCAATAATTACAGCTGATTTTGGCAACTTTTGTTAACCTTCAAAGTGAAAATGACATAGAATCTTTCAATATTGTCAAATTGGTATATTCACGTCATTTTCGTGGATTCGAATTCCTACCAGGATTGATCGATTTTGAACCTCATTATTTACCAAAGGAACAACTTTTTCATGTTTTTGGCTTCAGTTTTGTCATCTCCATATTGTCCATTCCATAGAGATCTCCCGTTGGGGCGTGAGTTCTGGGGCCACCCTGTATATATAGGCTGATCCCACGATCCGATCGACTTGTCAGATGCTCTTTTTCGCACGAACCTCGCTTTTCATCCCCCAGGAAGCGAAGCCGGTGCATTATACTTATTGTAAACGGGGGTTTGGCTAACAAACTGTACCAACCGCTCTCATTGTACGGCTATCATCTCCGCGTAAAAGCTTTTTCGTACACACACCACCGCCCTATTCATCATCTAAATTGGGTTGTTTATTGTGTGCGGAGCTCCGCTTGTATATTAACTCATTCAAGGAAATTTTACCGCTGCGTAAAATTCTCCCGAGCGGCGGTGAAAGTGTTAAAACGATTGACCGCGCGCGCGGGTGCGAATTCCGCTAATCTATACAGTTAATTTATAATTTTATGGCCTCTTCGCTCGATTAATTATTGTTGTAATTCGATCGGCGCACATCCGTCGCGTCGCGACAATTATTATTAGAAAAAAACAGTGCATTTTAGAGAAATTCGACAAGACGCGTCTAATTTCGCGTCTAATTTCGATGAATATCGTCTGTCGATTTCGCTGATAGCAGTTTGTCTGCCACATGACCTTTCACAGTAACTCCGTTAGATGCGATTTTTTTGCGAATTTCAATGAATAGTAAAGTGAAATTTTAGAGGGAAACGATCCAAATCGCCGATTAACAATTAATATTCACATCGACGTGAAAAGTAACATATTTTTTTTTCATTAGGTAATCTGGCAGGTCGGTTCACCAATTTCGATTGAATTTAATGAAGATGATTATCCAGTTAATGCTGGAACGTTGCGTAATCGACAATTAGTAAAAGTAGACTTGGTAGTTTCTTAATCAAATTATACTGTTAGAATCTAATTGAATATGATTTATTTTTAAACGCGAATGTTCGAGCAGAGCGCGTAATTAAACACATATAGGGAAGTGATAAGAGCGAACGAGGAAGTTACCTATATTACCTAAATGTTATGTTTGTGTGGGAAATTCTATTTTTATTCGAACCTACACTCTAAAAGGGAGATTATTATTTATTCAATGCTTGCTTTTTTTGTATTTTTAGTATCTAATATCTAAGAAAATTTACCCTAACCCATTGGTTGGTGTGGAATATTTTTATTTTCAATTTCCTGTGCATGACCTACGATTATTATATAAAATACGAACCAAACAGAAATACAGATTGATCGTCGTTTTTACTCGATAGATTAGCGTTAGATCTCCGGCTAAAATAAATATTAATTTTTAGCACAATATTTAGAATGAGATAAGATACCGAGCATCATTTTTCTCGATATATAATATAGTAAATAGTATGCCGATTGCCGTTACATAATTGCGTAATGTTTGATTTGTGCTTCCCCGAATTGTTATCTACTTTTTCTCCTTTTCATAAAATATATTCTAGTGCTCGATTTCTAATTCAAATCAAAATATTAGGTTTATTTTTTACTCGAGTTAAAGTATATTCCAATTCGTCGTTGATGTAGTTATTAATCTATACGATGGTTTATCGCAACAGTTGGAATTATCTTCAACAGATAAATCTCGACGAATTTTCCCACATTGGTTCTCATTACAATCGGATAATATTAGAAGAATTGTATCGCTAAGACAAAATACACGATCGGTTTTCGGCGTCGAAATGTTATCTCCCAATTGACGCCTGCATATCACTTCATTACAAGGGGCCGATTTTATTATTGAATCTATTATACACAAAGAACAAGGAGTGTACGAAAGTATTCGCTCTATAAGCTTGCCTTATCTATTCAATAGGCACCTAGCCTAAAGTTTTTTTTTTTATAAAAAGTCCACGCACAAACACACACACACACACACAAGTATATTAAGCGGGGTGTCCATCAAACCGGAACGTAAATGGTTATTTTAATGAAATCTTCTCCCCTAAGAACAGCGTTTCCATCTTCAGCGACCGGAACTCAAATATCATGAAATGTGTCTCGCTGTACCTTCGACTCGACCGGGGCTCTTTGTGAGCTCGAGTTTTCGCTTTTTTTTTCTCTCGGTAGACTAATCCGTAATTTTAGTAATTAGGAAAGTGGATATACTCCTTAAACGAATCTCGTTCGATGGGCGATTTCTTGTTGAAGTTTTCTATGGTAAACACGTTGATGTATATTTGAGATTTATTTCAAGTTGAATAATGGTTTGACAAAGAAATCTTTATCTGGTATTATGACCTATTTTCTAATAAATGAGTCTTCTATGTTGCACCTATGCATATGAAATTTTAATGTTGAAATATTCAATCTGCTTTAAACTTATAATGGTGAAAATTAGCGAGGAATTAATGGAGATAAGTTCAAATTTCGTGTAATTATAGAGTGAAAAAAAAGCGAGTAAACCTTTTTCAATTTTAATAATCTATAACCAAGGTTAATTAATGCTTATGACAGCCAGTAAAAACTTTAAATGCAGGTAGTCGCAATCGAAAAAAAAAACCTATTATAGAATCGCATTCGAAAATAAAAAAACCCGGAGCAACTGTTTTGAAATAAACATTGCAAATCAGTTGATCTTGCAACTATTTTGCAACATGTACAGTAGTGTGGAATCGCACACAAGTCGATTCAAATGAAACTAGTTTGCAATTAGTCATAAACCAGTTGTATTCGACCATTTCCCGCGGTCGCAGTCGCTTTGCAGCTTCGAGTTGCTTTAAATTCTTGCCAATTTCTGTTGTGATTCATTCGATAAATTACTATGGCAACTGATTGATATTAGTTGTAAACTGGTTACAGACTAAACTATATTGCAATCTTTATTTCAAAACAGTTGCTCCGTGGGGTAAAATATTACATTTACCCCATTTTTACATTTGCCCCAGTCTATCTTATATCTTCCTGATTTTGCAGACCAGTTTATAAAAATGTATAAAAAAAACTAAAAATAAATAAATATAAAATAAACTGCTCCACAAAAGTTCGCAAATTTTGCGATTATTTTAAAAGTTACACACTTTCTGATCACCAAATTTTCAAATATGCGAAATTAAATGTTTTCTCTCATATCTGAGTGGATTTTTTGCCCTTTTCTCTACAACTCGTACTAAATTTGGCGATCAAAAAACCTGCAATTTTTGAATTAATCTCAATATTTGTGAACTTTTGTGGAGCAGTATATATAAAAATACTATAAGACTCGTTTGCAGTATTATACATACAAATACGAAATAGTTTGTTGAATA